AACAATATCATGTTTTCCTATTACTAATCTGATGTCTTAGTTATGCACAACATTATACACACAGTAAAAGTATGTATAAGTACTGAAAGGTATTCTCACTCTACAGTAGAAATGATCACTGTTAATTTGGGGGCTATAAGCTTACAGGTTTCCTGAAAATTTACATATACATACCAAGATGAGCAAATACAAGTTTTAGTGAGATGATACTTCCTCTTTTGCTCTTTCTCTTTTGTTTTTAACGTGGTAATATTTCTTGGAGGTTTGTTCGCATCCACACATAAACCCATGTCTTTCTCTTTTTTTAAGGCTGAAATTGTGTCCTGTTACGTAGACAAACTAATTTTCCAGCTATTCCCCTATGGATGAACACTATAGTTGCTTTTGAATTTTTATACTGCCTCCTAATGCTTTGTATCCAAGAGGAAACATTTTTGTAGGATAGATACCCAGAATAGTAATTCATGGGGCAAAAGGCATTGTGTCTTTGTTTTAAAACATTTCCTTTGTATTTTATTTTATTTTATTTTTGGTACCAGGAATCAAACTCAGGGCCTCTAGCTTGCCAGGCAGGCGCTCTGCCGCTGAGCTATATCCCCAGCCCTCTTTTAAAACCAATGTGTGCGTTTATTGTCCCCTTTCACAAATAACGTTTTAGTTAACTCCCTCAGCAACAGCGGGTGAAAGAATTCATTCCCTTAGAGACTAATATTCACAAGAGATAATCTTACTATTTTTTGCCAACCTGAAAGGTGAGAAATTTCATGTCATTTTAAATATGTATTTCTCTCCATCTTAGTTTCCCAAAATGTCATACCTATACACATTTAAGAAGAAGAAAATACACAGTTGTTGAGTGCATGGTTCTGCGTCATTTTTTTCCTTTCACAGTAGATCAGGGACATTTTCCCTTGTTGTTGCATTGTTTCCAGGACCTCTCTGTTCAAGGTCTCCATCCTCCTGAACTACTGCAGATCACCTGGAGTGTTTATTTTTGGCCTTGATCTCCGAAGATCATAGGAATGACAAGTGATATGAAAGAAAGCAAAGCAGAGGGAACACACTCCCCCTGCAGACAGTTGGCATGGGAACTATCTGGGAAACAGAACTAAATTAAAATCTGAATTAGCTGTTCGGCCTGGGGCTCATCCCATAGGTAATTCCCAAGGAGTTCCTTGAAATATCGCTGTGAGCTCTGGTTACATATGGACAGCCTGTGTTAAATGTGAGGAATCTTGACCAGTGTCATGTGTTTGGCTATGAAAAGTACCTGGGTTTGTTTGTTCTTTAGGCTGAGGGATTGTGAAGATTTCAGAGCATTTAACATTGGCAGAAACATGGAAGAGGTAGTGTGGGGTAGTAGAACTAATTTTTTTTTTTTTTTTGTCTTTTTGAGACAGAGTCTTGCTATGCAATTCAGGCTGGCCTTGAGCTTATTTTGTAGCCCAGGCTGGTCTCAAACTTGCAGTGATCTGCCTCAGCCTCCCAAGTGCTGGGATTACAGGCATGCACCACCATGCCCAGCAATTAGAAGTAGTATTTTTTTTTTTTTTTTCCAGTACCGGGGATTGAACTCATGACCTTTTTCGCTTGCGGGGCAGGCGCTGTGTCACTGAGCTAAATCCCCAGCCCCTAGAAGTAGTATTAAAGTGGCAAATCAGAAGAGATGGCCTCAGAGTCTAGCTATTCTCTGCCTAGCTGTGTAAACCTAGAGAAGACACTCAGCCTTCTGGATTTCCTGGGGTCTGTGTTTTGCAGACGTGAATTTGGAAAGCATAGCAGAGGATGGGCTAGCAGCTGGAGGTCAATTCCAGCTCTATAGTAAAAAGAACTCTCTAAGAATTAGCACCTTCTAGTAATGAGATCAGCTGTATGCCGCCAGTTTTCACAGATGTTCTGATATTCAGTCAGTCAGTTCTGCGGCAGGCTTCGCTCATCTGTGAGGACAGGACACACTTGTGGACAGGTGGCACGTGCCGTAAGGTCCATCGCAAGAAACAGCCAGTAAGTCGGGAATTTCAATATGGTCATTTGATTAAATCATGATAGTCCTGACAGGTGTCATGGAGGAGCAAGAAAGAGTGACTTGGGGGGCTGGGGATTTAGCTCAGCGGCAAAGTGCCTGCCTGGCAAGCACAAGGTCTTGAGTTCGGTTCCCGGTACCGGAGAAAAACCAAAACAAAAAACAACAACAACAACAAAAAAGAGTGACTTGGGAGGGTTAGACAGAGTGTAGCTGTTCAAGGCGAGTTCAAGGGCAGCTTCCCTGAGAAGGCAGCCTTTGAGCTGGGATGGATGAATGATCAGGAGTCAAAGGTGGAAGGACTTTGGAGGGGCAGCATGCTGGCTGAGGAAGGCATACAGGGTAATCGCGGTGGCTGTAACTTCTGCTCTGCTCATTCATCTCTTCATTCGTTCAGAACACACTGGCTGGGCACCTATGGTGGCCCGACCATATTCCTGCAGAGGGGATACAAACGTGTAGTGCACGATTGGCAGAGTTCACAGCCTCATGGAGCTCGCTATTACAGCATAATAAGTCATCCCAAGTTTGGTGCCTTAAAATAGCCATCATTTTGCTGTTGTCCTCATGCTCTGGAGGTAGATTGGGCCCAACCAGCTGTTTCCTGATCAGATGTCTCACACAGTAATTATTCAGGTCAAAACTGGTCTGGAATCCTCACTCACCTCTGTGATACCTGGGCTAGGAAAACCCAAACAGCTCATGGTAGGACAGCCAGGGCCAGTAAGGCATCCCTGTCTGTGGGTGACCTCTCGTGTGGTTCTCCAGCATCGTGGCTTCAGGGCTGCAATACAAGTGACAGAGAGAGACAGAGAATCAGAAGACAAACACAGACAGCTAAACTGAATCTGCATCTGCCCTCAGAGGTTAAGTAGCATCGTTTATATATATTCTGTTCACCAAGGCAGTCCCAAGGGTCTGCTCAGGGGAATTTAGAATCTTCTCCAGATGGGAGGTATCACAGTTTGTAGATGTGCTTTATTTTTTGTTTATTTGTTTGTTTGTTTGTTTTTCTTCCAGTACCAGGAATCGAACTCACCACCTTGCCCTTGCGAGACAGGCACTCTGCCGCTGAGCTAAATCCCCAGCCCCTGTAGATGTGCTTTAAAACCATCGTACTCTCATTCTCTGCTTGCTAAGCATTTCAGCCTTGGCTTCAAACCTACCAGCCTTCCTCAGCTCTCCAGAGTCCACCCAGGAAGATAATCTAATGGCCTTGGGTACTGATGCACAAGTGTCCCTTGAGGCTTTCCCCTCCCTCTCCTTCCCAAGGCAGCCCTAGAGAGACACAGGTTTCTTCACTCTAGGATCTTTCTTGTGGGAGGCATTGATGTCCCTTGTAGACTGGTACCCCAGGCACCTATCCTGCTGATCCGCTACCTGACTAGTTGTGCATGGACATAGACCCTATGCCCCTCAGGAGCAAGGCTCCTCTGTGAACTGACCCATGTCAGGAGTCAGGGCTTCTGGTAAGGCGGGATCAACAGGTACGGGCTTATAGGCATTGGTTGGTTGACATCCCTAGAGCACTATAGGAAACTGCTAGAGGGCCAAGGAAATGTATAGAAGGTAGTTCTTTTAGGAAGAATGTGTTGTGCTTTTAAATTAATCTGTTAGAATCTTTATCTTACAAAAGAAGGCTTTCAGGTGTGTTCCCATCAAAGAGAAAAGCATCAGTCTCTATCCCAATTGAATCACTTATACCAAGGTCAGTGATATGACACTCTGGCTGATTATCACAAGATGAGTGGGCAGAATCTGCTTCCTGTGAGTAACAGAGTTCCCAACACTAAGTGTCAAACAGAATCTACAACAAACATTCCTCCCGCTGTGGTTTTGTAGACCACACAAAATGGCGCCTAACGACGCACTCAGCAGACCTTGAGAGCTGGCTACTAAAATAAACCTCTGCACTATGCAGAACTCTTAGCCCTGTTTATTATGCACACTAAGAAATTCAATGTATGATGATAATACTGAGAAAGGACTTGCTTACTTAGCTTAAGTTTGTGGGAACAGGTGAGCAAACCAGAGTCACAGCTACCCATTCCTCTGCATTCCCAAGATTACTTATGTCAATAGCTTCTTCCTCCGGGTTTTTCATTAAGCACATTGGACTTGAGTCTTGTGCTTCATTACAACTTTAATCTAGGCTGAGTGCAAGCATTGGAGCTTATAACAGTGTTATTCACCATTATTGGCCAGGAACTAGAACTAGATAACAATTCATGTTCCTTCCCAAACTAAACATCTGAGAATCTGTGTCACAGGACTCTGAGCTCTACTTTTGCTCTGCTTATCACATTATAAGTGCAAAGGAGCCCTCCCAAAATAGTTTTAAAAGCTTGTTTTGAGATTTGAATCAGGGAGTCCTTGGGTCTCAACACATGGAGGGCCCCTGGGGGTCTCCCACATCAACCCCTTCCTGACCTACCCAACAGGTGGCTCCCATACGTGACCCCTGCATGGGCAGAAGGGTTTATGTTGTACTGCCACCCACAGTGCCAGCCTCCCACTAAGTATTTTAAGGCCATAGAGTTCCTGCCACCAACGCTGGCAGTGATAATGATCTATAAAGTATTTAGTGTCCCAGTCCTTATCTTGATCAGGTCATGGGCTAGCAATGAGCATAGGGTTTTGCCCCAGCTCTGTAAGTGAATGTGCTCCAACTTAATAGGATTCATCGGGCAAAAGGCCTTACATCAGTATGCATGAGTAGGCAGGCATGAGTGTTCCCATATGCATATGCATCCAGAGCAAAATCCTGTATTTGTATAGTACTGAAATGCAAGTATAAGAGCCAGGTGTGGTCCTGCAGGCCTCTATTCACAGCATTATGGAAGGCTGAGGCAGGAGGGTCTCAAGTTTGATTCTAGCCCAGGCAACTTAATGATTTGGCCAGACCCTGTCTCAAAATAAAAAATAAAAAAAAAAGACGACCTAGGAATATAATTCAATGTGAAGGCCCTGAGTTCAGTGCTGAATATCACCACCGCCAAAAAAAAAAAAAAAAAAAATCTGGTATCAGAAGGCCTTAGTGACCTATGCTTTCATGTATGTCTGATTCACATTGCCCGTCTATGATTCTCAAGGCTTTGTATGGTTCTTTTGCCCTGAAAAATGTGACTTTTATCACGCAAGTCTTCATCACACACTACTTGCATTTCCAGTTTTACAGCCTGCCTCTTTAATCCTCGTGTGCTTTCCTTGACATTTTAAGAAACTTTTAATGGACATAGTTTGCTTGCAAAATAAAATTGAAAAAAAAGTTATATTTTTAAAGTGGCTTTGTGGTGAGTAAGTCATGCCAAGTGTATGTTCTCCTTTTTGTTGAAGTACTTACAGTTGGTCTTGAGATTCTAAAATAAGAATGGCAGTTTCAGATGTAACTACTTCTAAAATTTAAGAAAGAGCAATATAGCAGAGTTGGATGGAACACAGACTTGTTCAAAATGTCAGAAAAAGTAACTAAAGAGTACATAAAAGCGAAAATTCTGGCTTGATGAATTAGTTATTTCAGTGTGTTCTAGCCTTGAAAAGTCATCTACCACTTGGACAACTTTGTCCTGGGAAAACACACTTCAAAGGAGAAAGTGGTTGGAACATACAGTTCACAAAGGAAGAAAAAAAAATCTTTAATATTTCGTGGATTTAAAAATACTAAATGTGCAGATCATCAGCCACAGATCTTTTCTGGAAAGAAATCACAGATAAATAATTCATGCCACATATTTTTAAAACATATAAAATGGGGGAATAAAAGGTCTTGTTAGTAGAACACATACAGGCTGCAGGATCCTGCTCTGCTATTTGTCACTACCAAATTATACCTGAGCAAACCAGCACTGGTATTTTTTAACCATATCATTATGATTGTGTGGGCTTTGATTACTAGACCTGAAAGGTGCCGGTACCATCATCAGATGACTGAGTGTGTGAATAAGTTTCTAGAATAATTGTGTGTGTTGTCAACCTTCTCCACTTATGGGTGGTCACAGAAATCCCTTTGTTCCATGGTTCCTAACAGAACCCTGGTGCTGTTCTGGCTTCCACCCTTGTCCTTCCTGCACGGGCCCTGCCAAGAGGTGAATCCTGATTGGTTTCTCCAGGTTATTGTGGTCTATTCCCCACGCCATTGATTGGGGTGGCCCTGGGCATGTGACATACTTTTGCCAGTGACGTGAGGGGAAGTCTGTTGCAGGTACTTCTGGGAAGGGCTTCCCTGCTTCCAGTCGAGTAGAGATCACAAGATTTGCCCTTCTGCCTCTGCACGCTGGTGGATATGGCTGTGATGGCTGGAATTATGGTCACCACATTATGACCCTGAGAGAAGCAAGCTAGGGATAGGACAAAGACAGCAGGCTGCTGCGAACAAGGAGTTAGAAAGATCTTCACTTCCGAGTGATGCCTTTGAGTCACTGATATTCCAGCTCTTGAGCTGCCGTCCTCACACTGTGCATTGTTACCAAGAATGTGGATAGGCTCTTTGGGGTAACCAGGGCTTTCTGTTACCTGCAGACAAGACACTTCCATGGGTACATGAATTATCCCAGATAAAAACAAGAAATAATACAGTTCCAAAAGGATAAAAGTTACCACGATCGTGTGTCATTTTTATCGCATGTAAGAGTGGCATTCAGGCCGGTCAATGGTGAGGCTTCTATTCATCATAAGCCGTGCAGAATGAGGATACTTGTTTATCACACCTATGGAGGAAGACCCCCCCCCCCAAGGGGACTGCTGTTCTGGAGTATTAATGGCAAGTTCTAGCTAGGATATTAGTTTGGCTGCTTTAACAGAAATTAAAACAATAACATTAAAAAGTTAGAAATTGATTTTTCTCTTCCAAAACACCTTGAGCTGATAGGCAGTCAAGGAGATGGGTAGCCTTGCCCCTGGGAGTCATCCAGGATTCTTCTCTGTCATCCACTGGGATATTGTCCCTCATCTGTATACAGTGATGTAAATCTGGCTCTTCATCATACCTGGGTTTCAGAGCATGGAAAGGAGGAAAAAATAAAGCTCAGGGTGGCCTGAGACAGGCAGCATCCTTTTGATCTGGAACCAGTCATAACTCGTTGGTCAGAATTTGACTGTATGTCCATAACTAGTTGCAAAGGAGTCTGGGAAATGTTATCTCCAGCTGGGTAACCAGGTACTATATCGCACTAAAACACAAGAGGTTCTGTTTGTAAGGGGAAGGCAAGCATAGACCCTTAGGATGGTGAGAGGCATCTGTCACATGGGGCATCTGCTACAGCGTAAAGGAAGAAAACAGCAAAGGCAGAGAGTGCCTGGTATCATTGTGCAGAGGTGAAGCCCAGGCCCTTGTACCAACTCTAACGTGTCCTCTTCAGATCACTAAGGGCCTTGAACCAGGTGATGTTTGAAACTCTTCAAATTCTGACTTGCTCTGGTATTGCCAGTGGGTATTCTGTTGCTAGGGAGGGCAGGAAGCAGAGATGGGAAGGAGGAGGGTCACATCTCACATGTGACTAATGTGCGTTAAACTATTAAGAGACAGCACTGCTGACACAAAGAGCTTAATAGGAGTGAGTCTGTGCTGGGTGCCTTAACACGTTATCCCCAGTAGTCCTTACACAACCTTTGAGATGGGCCCTGTGATTATTCCCATTTCCTAACGGGGAAACTGACTCATTAAGGGGTATAGCAGAGTTCTAGACTCAGCCAGCTGAACCCTGAGTCCACTCGTATAATTACCTGTGTGGGAAGGACAGGATGAGGGAATGAGCTGGGACTTTCAGGGTGTGGTCAGATCGAAGCAGGTCCTGAGAGCAGGGTAAAGAGTCTGGGCCCCGAGCTACCCTTTCTCCAGGGCCTGCTTGGGGACCTGTTAAGAGACAGCGTTCACCAGCACAACTAGTCCACACGTTCTTCCCTAGCGAGTGTCTGGGCTGGACAGTGTTACATCACCTCACAAGAGGAGCCTCTTCAGGAGAAGAGCTCCCGGGAGAGAGCTTCCTGGGAAGGCCAGCTGGGGGCAGAGTGTAGTGTTCCAGGGGAGGCCCCCTTTGTGGCTCCCAAGCATCCTATAAAGACGTTACTGTTGCTGAGAGGGCCGGGGTGGGCCTGTTCCCACCAGCATTCTCAAAGGCGGTCAGACACTGGGAAGGGACGGAGCCTGACCCTAGGGGCTCCGCTCACAGTGGGGCTGTCCCTCAAGTTGGCACCGCTTGCTGTCACCAGTCCTGGGATTAGACCACTCCTGCTCTGGCCTTCAGATCATTTGGCTTGCAGGGGACATAGAGGGGCTCCTGGGAAGTGGTGTTAATCAGTGGTAATGTGGTCTGGACCCGGTGATGACAGGCCTCCTCGGGAGTCAGTGGGTCAGATGGCCTGGGTAGAAGGAGCGACACCCTTACAGCCCACCTGCCCGTGCACGCCAAGCCACAGGCAAGGGCTCCTGGGCCACGCTCCATGGGGCCTCTGAGCAACTGGCTTTCCCCAGCATGGAGAATCTCCAGATGTGGCAGTCCTGGGTGACGCACTCATCTCCCTCCTCTGCCTGGGTCCAAGGACACAACACTCCAACACCCCCACCAGCAGTCAGTGCAGCCTGACTTTAATGCTGCCTTTTGGTTCATTTTACTTTCAGAATACAATCCTGAATTCACCAACGTCCTTTACTCTACTCCTCGAGGCCCAATTCTGGCATCACTGCTTCTGGGAAACCCAAACCTGGCCTCTTCCCCCGACCCCGTTTCATATGGCCTCATGATCCATTTACGTTACTAACCAGACCAAGCTTTCTTATTTTTAACTTTTTAAAACTTAAAGAAAAAACAAAACTGAACTTCTGACATCCACAGAAACAGAAAGGATCATAGAAAGAACCCTCAGCTTCAAGAATTGCCAGCATTTTGCCTGTCTTATTCCACCCAGGCTCCTCCTCACCCCGCTAAATATTTTAAAGCACTTCTAGGTCTTATATCATTTCTCCTATAAATCCATCCCCACAGTTCAGCTGTGAGCTCCAGGATAGCCAAAGAGTGTGTCCTCTATCCCGCGTCCTATGTCCTTAGCACTTAGAATGGTGCTTGACACCTCTTGGCGCTCAGGAAGTATGTTATTTTGAGTCAAATGAATGAAGAAATTGCTTAGTCAATCAATCAATCAGTTGGCTTCAAGTCCTAGGCTACTAATTAGCTGGGGAACCTTGGAACAGAAATAACTACTATGAACTCACAGCGTCTCCACCCCAGGTACCTGTCCTGCTGCCTGAGATTTCTAGGAGGCTCTGGAAGTCATCCATCTTCATCAGACTTTAAGGTAGATTTATTTTTAGCCAAACATCTTTGATTTTTCAATTAAACGATACTTTGAGGTGACCTTGGAGAGGGAGAACTATTAAGATATGGCTTTTACCTTTGCTTGGTTCATATTTAGTTTATAATTGTATGAGGGCTTTTTTTTTGTAATGCTATATTTACTTAGGCCAAAATGATTATGCCCAAAAAGAATCAAAGCATAGAATATATCCAAAGCATTTTGTTTTTTTAATACCATCTTTCTATTCCTGGTAATGGTATTCTGTCTGCACAAATGGAAGGTAATTGCATGTGTGTTTTCGTTCAAGCGGCCATGGTCATGTTTAAAACCCTAAATTACATATCCTTTGAAGGGGACCTGAGGCCCAGAATGTTGCCTGATGTGGCATTCCCAGTTCTTACAAGATAAAAAAGCCCGGCCAGCCCTGGGGCTCTGGAAATCTCTGTTGGTGGACTGGTAGCTTGTAAAAATGCCTTTCACATGTTCCTTTTTCTTTTTAGTTCAGAAATGGCGTTTACCATAATGTACTGGGAACTGCTTATTAGTTTATACTGTCTTCAGAATTATGGTCATTTTATTAAGGTTGATTTGAGTTAGCAGAGTTCTCTGTTTGTTTGCTGCTTCACCAGGAATCCAAAGTATTACCGCTATTTCTAGGTTTAAGCTATTTCCACCGGGTGTCTTTAGCACAGGGACTAAAAAGCTGTGCCAAGTAGACAGCTGATGACGGTACCTGTTGTACGTTCGGCTTGAATATAGAACAACTATTCCCACAGAAGAATTTGGGGGAAGTTGGGTTTGGTCATGATGCATGACCAAAACCGTGAGCCAAGAGCACCTTTTCCATGGCAGGTGATGGGGTCTGGGAGATAAGTGAAGATTAGGAGATGAGGGAGCCGTGATCCCTAGCACCTCATCCTGCGAGTGAATCACGCTATGGGTTTTATTTTCAGGACTGGGAGTGAGCAGTCTGTGGGGCTTTGCTGTGGGCCCAGAGCCCTGGCTGTGGCTGGCATGACTGGTATAATGTGATGGGGTGTCTGGAGGAGCTGCAGTGTTCAGCAACGGTAGCCACAAAGCTTGTGGGCGGGGACCTGTGGGGTGGTGATGACAGGACAGGAACCCAAGGATTGCATGACTTCCTGCAAGGCCACGCGAGCCTCCTACCTGGTGCTGCAGACCGTAAGCGGTGCTCTGGAGAACTGAGGCTGGCAGGAGTTAGACCACAGAGCTGGAAAGAGGCTATTGGCTAGTAATCCCTGACTTTTGGAAGTGGGACCAACAAGCTGAGGCCGATGTTCCAGGCTGGAAAACCTAGGGCAAAGCAGGACAGAGTTGAGTCAGCCGCAAGGAAAGTTTGCTGTAGTGGGGGAGCCATGAGTGTGGCTGCAGATTTGGCCACCTTCCCGGATGGATGGGGATGGGGCTGGTGAATAGAGAAGTGGCCACTGGCCAAAAAGAACCATAGCATGGAGCAGGAGCCACAGTTCGGGAGAAGTGGCAAATCTTTGTGTATAGATAGGCATAGAAGTCTGCGTGACTCCTCCGGCGCTTGAGGGTCAAGCACAGTGTGTCTCTACACTGTGCCAGGTGTTCTGCCCCGTATGGTATCTACTCCTCACTACCTCCTGCTCTTTCTTGCTTGTTCTGGCTTGCATGTACCCCCAAAGCCTCATGTGGTCATAGGTGGAGCTTTTCAGAGGTGGCAGGATTTAGAGTTTGTGCGGGATCAAAAACGTGATGCTGGGATGGATTCATTTTGCAATGCTAGGATTGAGGGTGTGATACTGCCTACCCTAAGGGTGGGTAACCTGGGTAAGATATAAAGGACAGAAAGAGCAGTGGTCATGGCTTGTAATTTGCTTTTGCTGCCTTCTGCTTGTCATCAACTGTCTGTCCTCTGTGATGCCCCTGTGCCGTGCCACCCAGCCTTGGAGCCAGCCAACTATGACATGAAATCTCTGTGAACTGTGAACTAAATAAACCTTTCCTCCTTTAACTTTGAATGTCGGGTATTTTGTCTCAGCAGTGAGAAAAATAAGGTAATTATCTTATCATCAATCTTCTATAAAAGTCAGGATCCTGAGACTCTAATATAAGAAGCCAGGAAACCCACTTGACAGGAGAACACATAGAAAACAAGCTGAGAGCCAGGAATTGAACACAGGTCTGTGGGTCTCTGGAGCCTCATCCTTCCTACTAGGGGTCCTTGCAGTCCCTTCCACTGAAGAAGTGTCCCCACTGGAGAAACACAGTGGCAGAACCATGCACTCCAGTTCCTGCATGGGACAACCATACACACGCAAGTGAGCGCACACACACATGCACACACATACACACACACACATGCACACACCGCCAACACTGGCTTCTGCAAATTTTGGGTTCTGTAATCATCATTTAGCCATTTTTAAAAACTAAGAACAAAGCCTGACGTTCCTTTTCATGTCTTCTAGTGAAATGGACTGCAGAAGACAGCATGTGTTTGTCCCAGGGTTTGGTATCCCTCTGGGTCATGTAACACGCCTAGGGCTCTGATCATACCAGGCTGGTTACCCGCCCAAGTGAAAGTAATGGGGCTCTGACCATGCTGGAAAATTCAGCAGATCAGAAGAGGCAGGGTACAGAAACCCCAGGAGTGTCAAGGGGAAATGGTGGACGTCCCCACTGTTCATCAATAAAAATCCATCGATGGGCATAGATGACAGGAGTTCAAGGACTAGAAGCAGTAAAGCAATTACATGATCCCAGCCATCTGGTTAACCCAACATGCCCTCAGTATTTTACATCTGAGCTAAATATAGCCCCTTTCCCCAAAAGCACTCAGCATATTGAAGAATCTAGACAAGATAGAGATTTGCATGTGGTGCCTGCAAATGTGATTATGGAAATCTAGATCCTGGCTTTGAATTTCCTGGTAAAGATGCAAAGCATTTTCTCTATATTGTATCAGTTAGCTTCTGCTTTGTGTCACGCTCCCAAAATGTATTGGTTTAAAACAACAACCATTATATTTGCTTGCCTTTCTATAGGTCAGCCACATGGTTCTTCTCGGCTGGGCATTTTCTACTGAGAGCAGTAAGCTGGTGGCTTTACTGGAGCCTGATGGTCTAGGATGGCCTCACTCACAGGTTTGCTGACTGATAGGCTTGTTATTTGAAGACAGCGTGGGCAGAAACTGCTTGTCTATGCTCTACATGGCTTTTCATCCTCTAGTAAAGGAACCTGGGCATCCTTACGTGGTGTCTGTGTTCCAAAAGTAACAGAGAGACAAGCCCCGCTACACATCTGCTGTTGTCCCATTGGCCAAAGCAAATCCCTTCCCCACACTGAGAGTGGGTGTGGGAGGAGACTGTAGAAGGGAATGGATACAGAAAAGTGGGAGCAAATTGGGGGCCATTACTGCCACAAACCCACCGTGCTGTAGAAACCTGAAATTTAACCCAACAAGTCGCAGTTGTTTCTACCTGATGCCCACCCAAGGGCAGCGCTGAACTACAGTATGGTTAACCCCTATATGAAAAGGCAGTGACAACTAAAGCCAAAGGAAATCAGCATAGCTGTTTGGTGGCTACACTGCCAGCCTCTGAAGTGGGAAATCCCCTAAGGAGCTACAAGAAGAAAGTTGCCCGAAAGCCAGATGTGGACCAGCTGCACAAGAAATGTCTTCCTCTCCTACAGGTAAATGCAGAATGACCTAGAGGCAGGTCAAGGCAAGGCGCTAAAGCAAGGGACCCACCTAGACATTCTGTGATTTCCCAGGTGTCCTAGTTACTTTTATTTCACTGCTGAGACAAAAACCCAACGCTCAGAATTAAAGGAGGAAAAGTTTATTTAGCTCACAGTTTGTAGAGGTTTCAGTCCATAATCTGCTGGCTCCAAGGCAGGGTGGCACATGGCAGAGGGGCAACAGTTTGTGGCATCGGAAGACAGCAAAAGCAACAAGAGAGAGCAAGAGAAGCCTCTTTCTGTCCCTTATATAGTATCCAGTCTACCAGGATTAGGGTGCCAATGCAATCAGTGGACTGATCCAGCAATCACCCAGCCTTAATCCCAGCACCCTTAATCCCAGCACTGCACTACAAATCAGTTACACAGTCTAGATTCAGCCACCTCTGAAAAAACCCTATGACCACTGAGGCTTTAGGGGGACATCCAGACACAAACCATAACACCAAACCTAGGGAGAGAGGCCCAAAGACAGGATGTGAGCCAGAGCCGCAGAAGGAGGGATGTGGATGAGGACACTGAATGTTGAGTGCTTATATACCCAAAGGAACCAAAAACCTTGTCAAGGAACTCCATCCTAAACCCTGTTTCCCAGGAGGAAGGAAGCAGTAACAAAGTGAACAGAAAAGAAAACCGGCAACAGCTGTTATCTCCGGAAAGCCTCCTGCATGCTGGGATGACACTTGGTTTGAGTTTGGTTCTAACAATACCTGAAGGTAATTAGCCCAAACCTCCAGATGAAGAAACAGATTCAGGGAGGCCAAGGAACGGGCATAAGTCACTGAGCCTTTGAAATGCTGGAACTCATAGCACTGTGGGTTTCTCTGCACCTGGCTACCAACATGGTCCCGTAAGACCTGGCATCATGAGGCAGCGGGTCTGCTTCTAACATGACCCTTTTCACAGGAGAACTTGGAAAGACCCCAGAGGCAGGAACTCTAGGAAATGTTCATGAGAGTGTTCACAGATGGCGGCAACCTCCAGAGAAAGTGGTAGAGGAAACCATGAGGAAATGCCCAACACATTTGTTGTTGGCAATGTAGAGACACCAAGCAATTAAATTTGCTCTGAACCTTCTCCATCTGTACTTCTCCATCTGTACTCCTCCGTGTACCTACTCACCTCCTGTTAGAATCGCGGTCTAACAGGGCCACTGATGGTATAGGTGCTGTTGGGAACAATGGAGGTGCTGAGCCATTCTGAGGCCTGTGGCATTTATAGGCCCATAGGCTATGGAGGCAGGAGTATAAGGGGATTTGTTCTGTGTTGATTGACAGGGTGGGAGCAGAATTGTGGGGTGAGCATGTGGAGCCCTAGCGGCCCTGAGATCTCATTTTGCATCCTGGTACCATCACTTAAGCTTGTGCCCCTGATTTTCAGGGTTCTGTCTGCACACAAGTGCCTGCCTGGCAGAGTGTAAGCTGGGCAGTGTCAGGGGCCCATGTGGCAGCTGGCTTGCACCCTGTTCAGTGAGTGTGAGTCCAAGGAAATGGATGACGTGGGAAGTTAGGAGACCCCAGCTCCTGCTTGAGGGGCTCCTCCTGCCCCAGGATGGGAAGACAGCCAAGAAGAGACATCAGCATTCCCCTCAAGTGAAGACACTGAGGCCAGAGTTTGGGAGTGACCATTGTCACATCCATGTTTGTCTTCTGGGATGCTGGCCAAGCAGAAAAATCTGTTTTGGTAGGAGGTCTGGCAGGTCCCTTTTAAAGAAATGCTTTTCAAATCCCCATGCAGGGCCCATGGGAAAAGACTGGGAAGCGAGGGGTTATAGAGCTGTGGCTCCTGCTTCAAGTTTCTGTGATACAGTTTACCCCACACGTGCAATTCAGTGGCCTCCAGTATATTCAGAGCTGGGCAATCCTCACTACATTAGCAGATGAGATTTATCTGATTCTGTCTATCAGAGGGAGGGAAAGATTCAAGTTCAAAATAATTATTTTACTACAGTTTAAGAACCTTTTCTGAAGAGGCTGATTCTTAAGTTCTATTTGAAATCCCAAGGAGAACTAGGAAATAACACTGATAGATAAGACTGATAGGATAGCCGACATGGTGGCGCACACCTGTAATCCCAGCACTTGGGAGGCTGAGACAGGAGGATCATTGTGAGTTCGAGGTCAGCCTGGGCCACAAAGTGAGCGCAAGTCCAGCCTGAACTGCATAGCGAGACCCTATCTCAAAATGACCAAAAAAAAAACAAAAAACGATAGGATAAAACCTATATCACTCCTCACTTTTTTTTTACAGATGGGACATGTAGGGTTGCATTCAGCATTTTTAAAGTCCTTTTGTGTCATTCTAAGATGGTTAGAGAGAAGTAGAGTAGGCAGGATGGGGCTGCAGGAAGATCTATGGATGGAACTAAAGTAAGCTCAATGGTCCAGAGTTAGAGAGGCCTCTAATAGCAGAAGGTGCTGGGTAGAGTAGGAGCAAGTCCTCTAGCACCTTCCAGCCACGTTACAATGACTGATGTTCAGATTAGTTATGACAGTCAAAGAAGACCAAAATCATCTTAGCAAAAGTTCACCCAAAAGATTGAAGATTTAAAGGTTGGAGGTGATCCATAGTGGGGTGCACGTGAAGACTGTTGTCTGGCACATGGTAAATGCTCAGTAAATATCCCTTATGTTTTTCTTTAGAAATGTCATGCATGTAAAATACTTATTCCCTGTTGATATCAGATGAATGGAGTATTCACGAACTGGCTTCCTCTTATTGACTCGATGGGAGTGATCTCATTTTGGCTTATCTGGGGACAAAGGCTCACAGAATGTGTGACTATTCTGCGGCTAAGGATTCCCGCCTCCCTGCCAGAGGACTAGGCTAACTGGATTATTTGCAGTTGACACTTGGTTTTCCACCCTGAACTTGTTTGTTGCCTCTGCTTTATCCGCAGGACTGGTTCCCGATTTGAGGTGAAATCATGAAGAGAAAATAGAACAAATAATAATGCTTTTCCGTAATCGCTTCTTGCTGCTGCTGGCCCTGGCTGCACTGCTGGCCTTCCTCAGCCTCAGCCTGCAGTTCTGTGAGTCCTGCGGGTGTCACGGGCCCTGGGAAGGGAGGGGGCTTCATTGGGAAATGCAGGCCCCAAATTCGTAGGAAACACAGAGGCCCTGAAGCCTTTGCCTTTTAAATGAACAGTGAGGTTTAAAACAATGAGATCTCTTTATTATTAGTCTGTGTATTATTTTATGTTTATTATTTTATCATGGCAGGTAGTTGTAAGCAGGAATCTTAAACCACTGGGCAATGCTCTTTTGACTGTGAAGGACTTGCAAGCTCAGGTGACGCTTTTTTTACTCCTGCACAGATTCCTAAACTGCCTATTATTCCCAGGATCTTAGCTCGATGCCGCACTGAGCAGCCCAGTGTCACTTCTCTTGTCAAGCCACACAGAGCAACAGTGGTTGGCCTGTAGTCGGCTCCTTGAGGCTCACTGTCCATTGAGTGTTCAGTAGTATGTAGGGCTGGGGATATGTGGGTCAGGGTGGAGAGACTGGATCACTGGGCATGGAAAATGCAGATGGTGAGGCCAGAGCTCTCTGGTGAAGCCAGTCCACAGACCTTCCTGTCCAGTGTCCTTCACTGAGATCCCTATGCGCAGGCCATGCCTCAGATGGGTGCATACCCAGGCTCCCCGACAAGTGACCATCCTCACGCATAGATCAGCCCCAGTGCTTCTTGGTTGTAGCCTGTATGTAGTGGCCTGTGATCATCTGTAGCTTATTCTCTACAAAGAGCAGCCTCAGTCTCTGCCAAGCTCCTGCCACTCTGCAGGGAGTGCTGTCCTCTGCCCCTCCATCCCTTGCCCTTGCCTTTTCTCTTCCAAGAACTTCCATGGATGCCCAAGGGAGTGGTGCCTCTGTGATGTACATCAGGATGCCCTGAACCTGTTCCCTTCTGTCTCTAACTATGCAGTGTTAACATTTTCCGTTCTTGTGTCATTTCCTTCCACGAGATGGTCTGGTTTGAGAGCAGGGACCATGTCCTGTTTCCCTTTGTCTCCTAGGAACCAGCACTTCTGACCAGCACACAGTAGATACTGTGTGGACATTTCCCAGGCGGGCTGACCCTTACTCCTCCTCCCTCTGTGTGTGGACATTTCCCAGGCAGGCTGTGTGCTTAAAGCTGAGAAAATATCTGGACGCTGGGGAGAGTTTTGCTGTCACCCGGCTGCTCTATTTCACCACCTCCCCCTGATGGTTGGGAGACAAAGCGCTGGCACCCACCACTGCCGGGACAGCTCGGTGTGGAGGTAGCATTTCTGTTACAGCTTGAATGACAGAAAGAGGAGCAGGTGGCCCAATGAGGGGAATGTGGTGAGTGCACAGAGGGGCGTGGGGAGACTTGGCATCAGGAGTAGTGGTCCGAAAAGTGGAGGCTTCAAGCATTTTGCCTGATTTACCTTTAGTGTGACATAGTCCCAGGCACACCTCCAGTGCATATAACAGGCTATTTCCAGTAACGAAGAGAGCTAAAAGTACTCATTTATCCTTCTAGAATTGGAAAAGAAGAGAAGGCTGGTATAAGAAATTCAAACCAAGTGTGGTGGCACACCCCTGTAATCCCAGCCCTCTGGGAGGTTGAGGCAGCAGAATCACAAGAGCTTAGTGTGCAGAGCTTAAAATAAAAAAGGGTTTCAAAGGCCTTGGGTTCCATCCCCAGTAGCACGGGCGCACGCGTGTGTATGCACGTGCACACACACACACACACACACTCACTCACAGTTTAAAAGTACTCCAGATGGTTAATGAACCGTAAAATATGAATCTTTTCCAAGAAGTATGCTGTGACTTTTAGTAGTTTGTTTACAAATTTTCATTAAAAATTTTCCATCCTTTGGCCAAAGAGGTGTGACGTTACAGCCACACAGGGCTCTGCCTGAATCACTGACAGGTTCCGAGCGGTGAATGTGGGCTACTTGTGTTCGCTGCATTTCTCTGGCTTGAGCCGGTCTCTGCGTCACTGAATGGGCCTGTGTGTCTTGCTTATATAACTCTTCTGAAAGTACCTCTGTTTTAAGAGAGCTAAGTTTCAGACACGTTTTTTTAAGGAAAAATTTTCAGAGTAAATTAGCCTGGCTGGATCTGAGCGCTTTATTCTGGGATACGTTGGAGTTCGGATAGTAAGAAATGGACATTCTTACTACCTTTCTGCTTCTAGGTAAACTGTAATTTGGAATTTCCCTGTTTCTATAGAAATAGAATTCACTTGCTTTATTACTTAAAGGTTTATTGGTTGCTTGTTGCTATAGTGCAAGAAACTGCACTAATTCGTAGTACAAAGATTTATGTTTAAATAACACGTTTTCACTCTCACCCTAAAATGTGAGGACTTTTCTTTATCATTTCTTCTAAGTAATTTTTGAAAACTAAGCTAGCACATATAGTTACTTTAACATGTTCGAGGTCATTAAATATAACTTGATTTTCTTGGGCTTTAAGTAAACAGTATGGTTTTGTTTTCTGAAATACCGTGTATTTTATTTTGTCTTGGTAGTTTTCTTCTGGTGTTTTGAATGTGGAAAAGTTATGACTTGGGTTTGGATTCAGAAATCAGCTTGTTTAAATTAGCCTTTCTTCCTCTGGGTGCAGAGAATACATAGTGAATTCACTACGCATATTAAATGCTTAAGGTGTGTTTGACATTGCAAGGGTGGAGATAATAGGGAGGGGAGAAAAAAGATTTAGATCCAGTTTATACTTTCTCAAAATATGCTCACCTTAAATATTACTGATGGCTTACTGTATGCTAATAATCCTTAATAAAAAAATCATTTGTTTTGTATATTCAAGTCCTGGATGTTATTGTCGTTAAAATCCATACACGTAGAAAAATAATTTCTTAAATCGAAGGACTCCTTTCTTTGCAACGGGGAAAGATTGCTCGTATGTGAAAGCTAATGAATCATTAGTTATATTTCTGATTTTTCTGCTCATCCATAATTACCCACTTTCCTGCTCTACCCCAGGGTTTCCTTAATGTTTATTTTGGGTTCATTTCTCCAAGTTCCAGCTGGCATTCCCCAAAATGGTGACATGGCAGACGCTGGAATCACAGCCTTGGGTCTGATTCAGCTTCTGCACCAAGCATCAGGCTGCCCCATTTCTTTTTCTGTAAAACGGCTCGGTATTGTGGCTTTGCATGCTTGGTGTAAGAACAAAAATTTCGAGGGAAACTTGCGGCTCATGGAAGCCTCAGTTCCTCTTGTAAAAAGAGTTAGTCCTTGTTATTTTGCAAGGTTAGAGTGAGAACTGAGGACTTTGGGGAACTTTTGAACTTCTTGGAACCTTTGGGAAAACCCTTGGCTTATAGAGGCATAGCCAACAATCAGCCTTTTAAGCAGACCAGACAGATTCCCATCATAATGTACCATCCTCAGAAACTGGGGCTCTTGGGGCTCCATAAGGCTCTCAGGACCTCAGCACTTCAGCCCTTTGGGGGTGGGTAGCTTTTGAGCCTTATCACCCATTTGTACATTCCTAATCTGAGTGCAGTGGTTACAAGGAACACATAGCCCCTATACTGGGGGTCACCTCTTGGCCAGGGCCCCAGCTGATCTATGCAGATTCAAAGTGGATGGAACATTCAGATTCCTGGGAAGAGCAGGGGTGGTTAACCTGCAGATGTGAAAACCAGGGTTATCTTTAATAACTAAAGCACTCTTTCTGCAAAAGGAGTCAGACCTGTTCTGCGTGGCCCCGATGAACATCAATGGGCTTCCTAAAAGCCAGTGCCATGCAGAGGTGGAGGGGTGCTGTGTTCTCAATCACTGGAGTCTGCAACCTGCAGAGTATGGTGTTAGGCGGCTCACTGATCGTAATCCCATTTAAAGTCTCTTCAAACTCTACGGCTTCATGAATTTTATCTTTCCTTGTCGATGCAGGGTTGTGAGCATGTAGAGGCTGGTTCTTTAGCAAATGGTCTTTGAGTTTCCAACCTGCGCTGGGAGTTTAATCCCTCAGGGGCCGCAAGGAGTGCTCCATCTGGGGGAGGAATGTCAGGAGCTGTCTCTTGGAATGCAAAGAGCAGGGCACCAGGCAGGTGGGAGGCAAAATAGGGTGGAAAAGAGCAGGGTCTCTGGAGCCAGGCTGCCACGATGCCACCCCTGGCCTGCCACTTACCAGCTGTTATCCCCTCACCCCATGCCTGTTTCTTGCTCTGTAAAATGGGGCTGGTAACCGTTTCTCCCTCGTAGAGTTGTAAGGATTCAGTGAGCCAGTGTCTATGAAACACCTGGCATAGTGCCTGGCACATAGTAATCAGGACTCCTATTTGTTAAATCAGATGAGTTGGAGGTTATTTATGGAAGGGTGTTTGGGGAGGATGGAAAACAGAACCCAGACCAGTCTGGGGTATCAGGTGGCATCTGGGCTCACCCTTGAAGAAAATGGGAATTAGCTGAGGAGGAAGCTAGGGAAGATGAGACAGGCATGCAGAGGCACAGCGTGAGAGGGCAGAACCGGGTTAGTCATCTAACCCGGTTTTGAAGTTGAACCAAAGGCTGGGGTCTGCCTGCTCCCCACCCCTTGCTACCCTGAAGGTCTGGGGTCTCCACTGCCATAGGAAAGCTGCCATCTGGGTCTCAGGGAGTAGCCATTTGGGGTTTTCCAGAGTCTGAGGACCTGGATCAGAACCTGGGGTGCTAATATAAAATGCCTACTTCTACACTGAAAAAGAAGCGTTTGCGCCCCTCCCTGCAGAATCAGGCTCTAGGTGGGAGTGGACCGCAGAAATCTGCACTGTGAACAAGCTTCCTGGGTGCGTCTCATGCGTGGAGTCTCTGAATTACCAGCCATCCGGAGGTGGTGGGAGGGTGCTGCGGGGTGATGCAACTCGGAGGTCGTTTTGCTCTTGCAGTAAAAGGCTGTGGGTGGCTTGGGTGGAGGTGTTAGCTCTGAAAGAAAGAAGCAAAGCTGTGAAGTGTCATGGTGACGCCACTTTATAGCTAGTTGGGTGGTGGAGGGGGCAGGATGACTTGCCCATGGCACCCCAGCATCCAGTGAGGGGAGGCAGTAGATGCCT